AAAAGAATTGTCTCATTAGAACTTCATGTGAAAAATGCATAAACTATTCTGAGTCACAAACTCAACAAGCTAAAAAAAATGAATTATGACTACATTTATAACTACTCTCGAAATAGAGGTTTATAGTTTTTATAGTATCTCCTCACTGACCAGTTTACCTCCACAGTATTGTAATGGGGTGGGGAGGATTTAAAACACAAAGAAATCCAAACAATAAGCTTCACACAGAACAATAAGCTCCTAAAAATCTTGGGCCTTCTTGGTGGCCCAAGGGGTCAAGTCTCAGCACTATGAAGCTATCTGCAGCCACTGCAGCATGAGTTAGTCCCCAGCTGGGGAGCTACACACATGGTGCAGCAGAATTCTCCTGACTCCCCTTCTGCTCCCCTCAGTAGTGTATTTCAGTTCAATCCGACTGTCCTGCTCCCCATTCTGTCTCTGGTGAATCCTTTCACCTGGCCCTCTGAATCCCTGGCTTAGGTCCCAGCTCTTGTATGCATAAACAAAAGAAATCTTTAAAAGAATACCTAGAAATCTGACTTTAGAATTAAAGTGGGAGGGAGCCACAATGGGCTATGGTAGAGGACTTTTGGTTCCCCAGTGGTGGGTATTGTGTGGTAACATATAAGTGAAGGCTGTATTGCTGAATCATATACAATGTTGCAAACCAATGTGACCTCAATTTAAAAATAAAGAAAAAAAGATACTAGCAGCCAATAAGAATCACTTTAGAGAAATAATAAATAGTGCATTTGAATGAAAAAAAATGAATGATCAGAAGAAATTAAAATATTTGTTCTGGAATAGAGAGATACTACAGGTATCTCTTTAATCATTATGAGGAAAGACTAGATATTTAAGTGGTTAGAAAACAGAAAAGTGAGTAGAAATTTTTCTTTTAAGGATGTATAAAATCAAGGTAGGCACTGTTGAGATTAAATTTTAATTTGGTTAATAAATACCCCATCACTTCCATTTGTTGAAAATAAAATTGCCCTCTACAAAAGCTTAGATATATAAAAATGGTTAGGGAGGATGTAGGAATTATTTCCCTACCAAGGGGGAAGCTGGATTATATAACATCTAACATCCCAATTTTATGTCTCCTCATGTGCTATAAATGAAGAGTAAAAATATATAGGCCTCAATGACACAATGGATTAATATAATTTATAATAATTTATACAGACAGTCAGGAAGGATTCAAACTAGAAATTAATTTTGTCTAAACAGTATATGCCCATTTGCTCATCAAACTATCTACTAAAATATTTTCAGTAGCCCAAACCAGTCAAAGAGAAGTCATTTAAATTCAATACTTTAGCCCACTTCTTCATGGAGGCATACATTTAAAACAAATTACAATGTCTTTATGGTACTATCTTCATCTATATAATTTTCTTTTTTTTGATGCTTTTAATTTCATTTTTTAATGCTAAATCCTTTGACTTTATAGGGGTTGGGAGTTTAATTTGATCTGCCTCAATTATCCACAGCCTAAGATTCACATGGGTTTGAGTTCATTAGAGCTCCAATGCAGTGATGAACATTTTTTTTTCTGTAAGGAACCAGCTAGTAAATATTTTATTCAAGTCTATCTTGGTATGTAAAAGTAGCCATAACATTATATAAAGTGTGTCTCTATTCCAAAAAAAAAATCTTTTATAGATACTAGAATTTGAATTTAATATAATTTTCATATGTCATGAAAAATTATTCTTCTTTTAATTTTTTTCCAACCATTCAAAAATGTAAAACCATTCTTAACTTATGATCCATATAAAATGGCAGCTTTAGTGAATTCCACTCATGGAAGGCCGCTTGTGGGCCTGCTCCCTGGCTTGTACTGTATGTACAGTTCCATAAATATGTTCAGAAGAAAATCATTGCCACCTCTTTTATTTTTTCATAGAAACAGTTAAGAAAAGAGTATTTTCAAAATATGTAATTCTGAAAATTATGTTTTTGTATTCCTTTCATCTTACAAATTCTTATTAACATTCTCATTTATGTCGAGTTTTAATTTTAATTCTTGTCATTACTCTTAAATAATGTGATTGGAACACTCTAGCATTTGGGAAATCACTTAAACTTCTATTTTCCCTTCAGAGGTTAGTTTTCTTATTGTTTTAGCATATTTTCATCTGGAGGTAAATCTCCTTTGGTATTTAACATTTCACTTGTAATCGCCCTTCATACTTAGAATCTTTTCAGGCAAACAAACTTGCAGGCACTATTTTAATTACCCACTTGGGTCTCATACATTTAATGTGACATAGAAGTCAACCTCTTTTTTTGGGGAAAGTAAAAACTTCCTCCAAAATAAGTTTAATTAATACATACAACACGAGTTTACTAAGCATTGTTTATGCTATATAATAAATTATATAAAAATTTAGAAAGGTTGATTTAATAACTTCCCAATATTTGGAATTTATAGAGAACTCATTTCTTTCCCTTATTCTCTGAAGTCATACCCTCCATTTTTCTCACCCCATGTCTTGTGGGTGTCTTCAAGCAAACACACACACACACACACACACACACACACACCCTTATATGTGTATATATTAGAATCATCTCATGAATTCTTGGAACATGTTTCTATAATCTTTATCTGTTATCATCAACTCTGAAGCTATACAGAGGGCCTGCTTCAAAGGAAGAGGGCACCCTAAAGCAAGCAGCTCTTTCTGAACTTCCACCATGGACAACTGAACTTTACTTCAATGTTGGCAATTAAAATCTTCATGTTGGCAATTAAAATTATCAGTTTTACTTCTCTAATCATTCCCAACTAAAACATTTTTTTAACCATTTAGCTACCAAAACCATTTATACCAACTTGTCATTCAAAAGCCTAGATTTGCTTTAATTTGTTATAGCCAAGTTTCTGAAAATATTTTCCCCAAAAGAATAGAAAGTGGAATATCACTACTACTGCGAAGTGTTTGGCATACATTTTAATACATAAGACCTGCTCACTTTCTTAATCCCTTTTTGCATATTTTTTTCCTGTCTCCCTGCTCTCCATTCCTAACCTTACTTTAAGAAACCACATGTATGTTGCTGACTTTCCAATAACCTAAATTATTTCTAAGTAATCTAGTTCAAAAGATGTCTTCCAGGGGAAACCCAACTGCTTCCTTCTACTTAGCAAAACTTCTAAAGAAAGATTCACTTTCCAAGTATCCTAAATAAGATTAGATTTAGCACAAACTATTTTTAAAATGTGTATAATGAAAAATAAATAAATGAAGCCTCCTGGTGTAACTAGATTATTTTGGATATAAGAATATATAAGCATCATATAATATCCATATTATATACAGTTTATAAATAAGTAATCAGTTAAATATGTGCTTTGCCATATTTTTACTTATGAATCTAAACCATACTAAAATGAGAAATTACAAAAAGATCTTAGTTTTAAATGGCAAATTTTGTAAGTAATATTATAAAGACAATTCTTTACAGTAATAATTTTTTAATTTTTTAAAAAAATGAAACAATCACATTCTGTAACTACTACTTAATTACATTTTGGATGGCTTGATAGCTCATTTCTTTTCATCTCTGAATAACAGTCCATTATATGGCATCAAGAAATTAGGTAATCAGCTATACGGTATTGCTGTCTTGGCATCCATTTTGGACATAAAATGAAGTGAACCCCTCACACAAGCTAACCAAGATAGAAGCCACAGAATCACAAGCAAATACATGTATCTCATATGAGTTCCCCAACAGGCCTGATCAACAATCTCCTCTTATATAAGAACTCTATGGAACTCACCAAAACCCTGCTTTTTGGTTTGAATTTACCAAAACTACCCTAACCCAGGAACCTCAAAATACTCCACCTATGGACCCAATAAATATATGTGCCCCAGGGCCTGTCTCACACTCTCTTGTCTATTCTCTGCCTTGACTTGTCCATATGAGCCCTTGAGGTGTGCTAGATCCTTCCTCCAGGGCTTCTGCATAATAAACTTCTCTATTTCATGTTCTTTTGTGGTCTGTGGTTGAACTGTCACTCACCGTCCACCCATTGAACCATGTAATAAATTTTAATTTAACAGTCAGACCATGTGAATGACCATCACTGAAGGACATCTTGATTGTATCTAAGTTTTAGCAATTGTGAATAAAAGCTGTTATCATTATCTAAGTGCAAACATTTGTATAAATCAATAAGTTAGATAAATATATCATTTGTAATTTTATTAGAAACCACCAAATTCTTCAAAAATGGCTATACCATTTTGCATTCCCAAAAACAATTACTGAGAGTTGTAATTGGCTGTAATTGGTCCTTTTCTGGAAAACATGATCCAGAGTATCCCCTAATTTTTTTATATATAATATATATATATTATATATATACAATAAAATATTCTGAGGAACAAGGTAACAATTCTAATGTCTCATACAGTAACTTTTACTTAGTTAAAATTTAATAACCTATTCCAAAAATATATTTTAAGTACTTTGATTTAAACAAATTATAAATAATATGAATAAAAGTATATATGTATACATGCACATATTTAAAAGTATACAGATATTCACATGCACACATATATGCAGAGAGAAAAATTGTGTGTGTGTGTGTATATATATATATATATATACATATGTGATATTTGTATAAATAATGCTACCTTCTAGAGGTTCAACTTAAAACCTCTTGCAGAGGTTTTTGAATTTATAAAAAAAACTCAATTTCTATTTTATTTGGTTTTTCATGAACACCCCCTTTTATATATAGAATAGAATCAGGAATGTGACATCTTAATTGATGTAATAAAGACCCTAAAATTGGCTTAGTCTTCCTAAATATTTTAGTCATAGTTATTGTGATTATTCTTATAATCTATTTACTATTTCTTAATTTGGGGGGGTTCAAATTACCTATTGAGTACAACAACTAGATTGAGAAATGGTGGTCGTGATGATGTTTGGCTTAAATCAAAACCATTGTGTGAGAACACAATTACCTTAATAACAGATGTCTCAACTCTGGAAGGGGGACTCTGAACTTGTGCTGCTGCTGCCATATTTGCAATGGTGCTGAGATGGTTCATCTGGCTCATTGCCATGGTGACAGATGCTGGAGGTAGGCTGACAGGAATTAGAGGGTGGGGCATCATCATAAAAGGAAGTTCCAGTCCTGGAAAAAAAAAATATATATCATCATTGTGTTGTTCAAATAAAACCATGAAACATAGTATAATTAATTTACTAAAATGATTAAGACATAAATCACTGAAAATTGAAAACTGAAGCACTCAAAAATGTTCTAATAATCACAAAGGAAAAATAATTCTCTTTGTAAGCAACAATAGCCACTCCCCACTCAAGGAAATTAGGTTTAAAGCTAATTAATTTGTGCCATGTTTTATCATATTATTACTCTTCATGTGTTTAATGCAAATGGTCAATCCTTTGCTATATTACTTTCTGATCAGTCTAAATCTTATCTAAAATAGTAGGGTTTTCTGTAACTTATCATGATTAGTTATCTAAAGGTAGTAATATCTCTTTATTATGCCCTATATTTTGCTATCCAGCAATTAGACAATTTTTTTTCTTTGAAACTACCAATTTTAGTGCTAAAAAATGCCATCGTACCATTTGGCAGAAGGTGACTCTGCTGAAGATGGTGGAGAGGATGACTAAGTGGAAGGTTATGCGCTCCAGGCATGCGGGGGTGGGTAACAGAAGCCTGAGATCCCTGGGGTGGGTAAGAGTACAGTTTTTCTTTATCCCAAGAACCATCACTGCTTCCTGTGGGGAATGAATATAAATTATTTGGATACAATATTATTCCAAATCTTCTAATGACTATTTTGAAATGAGGTTTTGAAAGCATATTACATTTGGAGATTGGCTAAATAATTCTTGGGAAAAAAGTTCAAATAAGTAAATTTCCCCTAAACCACATATTCTTTTTGTTTTTCTATTTCTAGATAGATTCTCATTTAAAAAAATAAACAAAAGCATTCATACAACATTAAGCTTACTTGCGGAGTCTAATCCTTTTTGATTTACCAACAATATAAAATGGACTCTGTTCTAGATCTAGAGAATGAATAATTACTTCTTGGAACTTAGGCAAAGTGACAGAAAAAAATGCAAAATTATTCTTTATAAAGTGCTATCCCAAGACCATTCAAAGTTAACTTAATTCCACAATAAATTCTAAACATGGAATCATTAAATGCCCAAGTTAGACATAGTAGGGATAACTCAAAAAGTTACTTTATAAAAGATAATCATATCAAAGCAATAAATTAAACATGTGTATGTCAAAGATTTGTGTGCTTTTAACCACAGAGAAACAAATTTATGATTGTGGTATTATCCGTTCTAAGGTCAACATAGCACATTTGTGGGGTTGGGTTTCAAAGTTGATTGCTATTTGTTAGATTTAAATAGCTCTTAGAACACTTTAAGGATACATGTTACATGGGGTTTATAAATAATTTAAATGTAGATATGTCCTCAAATTAAACTAATTTAACAGTATTTTATTCCTTAACTGATTTTGTTGAATATACAAACCATCCACTTGAAAAAAAAATGTAATATCCTGGCTATGAGTTTGATTTCTTTAAAAAAGGAAAAGAAATCATATTTTCATATAATTTGCTTAGAAACTGCAAAATTGGTAAAACTGCCATTTAAATGCTCTAGCTCTATTAAGTCTCATTGTAAAATCTCTATGACATAGTTTTTAATGAAGAATACTTAGTGACTGCCATGATTTTTTCCCATTTACTTCATGAAGACAGTTAAGGTTCAATATAAATTCAAACTCATTAGCTCAATACTGTCTGGATCTTAGAGCAAATTGTTCAGAAGTGGGTAATGAAAACTCAATTCAAATTCTTCAGCAGTCAAACAAAGCAATTTTATTAAACAATGAAAAGAATCAATTAAAATGGATATCTTTATTATTTTACAAGAAACCATGACAGCTTTTGGCTTAAAAAAAAGTTTATATCTTTATACAGAAATGAGTCACATAAAACAAATTTCTCCACTACTTCTGCACTGACATAAAAATTCACTCATAGTTACAAATCTACACACATTATTTCTCTTCTCAAGACTTTTTTGACATTTATACTAAGGTCCTAGTCAGACATGCAATAACTATGAATAAATGAATTTTTAAAACAGATGATGTTAAAAGAACATTCAGTTGTAAAATATTTTAAACAGCCCTCATTTTATAGTGTCTTTATCAAAATATGTGCAAAATCCTTTCAACACATATTAATTTTTATGTCATTAAGTAAAACAAGAATTGAAACATAATCACTAATTCATTAGATACAGAAATTACATGGAATAACTGTCATTTAGATGTGGGAATGCCATTGTAAATTTACAAATAATAGAGAATTTTCTCTATATGTCCTATTTTATTTAAAATACAAAACAAATGCTCGAGTTACATTTTCATAGTAGGCTGCATATTGTAGAATATGTGGAATAGAGAAAAATATTCACATTTTATTTTGGATTCAGTTTAATTTGTTTACACCTATCCTTTACTTTCCATTTTCTCTTCATTTGGATTACTTTCTTATTTTATTGTGAGTTAATACATGGGAAAATATATTTCCACATATATTTAATTATACTCTCATATCATAGAGAAACACTATAACTCTATTTTTCACATTATCAAGGTATAAAATATTAAGGTAAATTTTTGATTTAACCATTTTGAAAACAGATTTTAAAAAACATAATATCTACTTTCACATCTCTTTTGCATCACAAGGTATCAAGCCCTTGTAGAGGGTAAAAATCAATCATTCACTTGTGAATTTTCCATAGTAAGTTTATAACATTAGATTGGATTTTCCCACTACATATAAAATGCTCTCAGCCAACTCCACCAATCATAATTTGTTAAATACTCATGATGTTACTTCATTTGGGTAATAAATAGAGCAAACAATCAAGAAACTAAGTCTGATGACAAATATACAATATATAACCAAGTCAGCTGTAAGTGATTTTTGCATTATTTATAACATCTTTCTCCTCTATTAGCATGAATAAATAAGAATTGAAAATAGGCCACTTCAGAACAAGGCATGCTTACATTTAATAAATGTGTAATTTTAAGTGCTTTCATTTAGGCCAATATATTTAGAGATATCAGCCCGTGTGTGTGTGTGTGTGTGTGTATACACACACACACACATACATGCAGTTAATACTAAGTTCAACAATTATGATTGTGAAAATTAAGATTCAATGTATAAGAACATTTTTATCTTTAGTAAGTGGGGTTAGAAAGACAGAAACTAACTCATTTCTCCTTTTTCACTCTTGTGATTCATGCTGTTCCCTGACTTTACAATGGAATATAAAGACGAAGTTGATATAGTCTGGTATCCTCAAGGAACATATTCTTTAGGAAGAAGTTGAAACACGTAAGACATAACCACAGATTCTTAAAAAGCAAACAGTGGATGCACTACATTTCAGTCTTTTTCTTAAACTGAGACTATATTCCTTTGCTCATATCCATTTTATATTTTATGATGGATCAGTTTTAACACAGAAATATACTAATTTGGAAAGAAACCTTTACATTTTGAAAGCCATCCCTTCTAAGGTAACCAGATTATCAAAAAGTCAGAACTGATATGTTACAAATATAAAGTGTATGTGCTTTTTCTCTATTTATTCCACACATGCCCTGTCAAAGTTTATGTTCCTGGCCCTAAATAACCTTGCAAAAATTTTAAATATAAAATATGCACACTTGTTAACATTTGTCTGTTTCCCCATTCCCATTAGCAATGACCAGTCCTTGGCCCAGGTACCTGGAAATTGAAGAACCTGGTTATCTTTCCATTGTGTCCTCCTCCTGCCTTCCCCTGCATAGTAAGATAAAGGTCCCTTTTATCAGTTCTGGCTCAGTCCTCCGAGCACTGTCACTGTGATGGTTATGCCTACTGGTCATTAACATCTTCATTATGGCAGGTATCTAAATGCTACTTCCTGATAAGGGGTGAGGAGGCTTTCTAGGGAAACCCCCTAACTGCACAAATCTCTGACAATGAAAATATTCCTCAGTTTCCCTGTTCTTCTAATCTCCCCAAACCACCATTATTTCCTGATACTAAAGTCCTTCTTCTGGTTTGGAATATCTTATTCTGATCACGTCCACTCTCTCTTATCATCTTTTCTCATTTCTTTATCCTCCTGCTCATATATGTATAGAAAACAAATCAGCAGTTTACACCAAAACAGAAACTCAGCTATAAAATGAGGTAGAGACATTTATAATATGAGCAATTTTTTTTTTGAAAGTTCTTCCCTTTTCTTGGTGGTGAGGAAGAACTCTCAAGAAAAAAATTACTAAACTACAGTCCTTCCCATTGGTGGTGTCTTTCACTCCAATGATTTCTTCAGACTCCCTTCCTCCGAGGTCACCCTCTGTTGTCGGTGGAGAAGGAGGATGCTTATAGAGTCTGGAGTGACAGTTAAGATAGCCAACTGACTCAGCTGCTATTAATAAATACTATTTTTTTAAACTTTCTTCAATATGAAGACTTCCTGGTTCTTTTTGCTCTTCTGTGGGTGCACAGAAAAAATTCTGTTTAATATTCTGCTACATAATCATGTTCAGTAGGAACAACTATGCCTATATTATAAATCATATTTTAGTAAGTATTCTTGTGAGTAAAGTGAAATAAATACAAATGCTCAACATTTGGAAATGATTTTTTTTTACAAATCAACAAAAGTTTTAAGTTGCAAAGTAAGACAGAAGTTTAAAGAAAAAAATATTACCATAAATAAAATATCTTTAAAGTATTTGATGTAAAGATGATCACTAGTAAAATAAAAATCACTTCAGTTGTTGCAACACAATTTTTAAGTAGGGTAGGAAATGGGAAATGTCTTGGTGAAGGATATTTATATTGTTTCTATCTATAGTTAATCAAAAAATTAATCATATCTATATATATATGAATGGCATCAATTATAGTTATTGTCCAAATAATCACACTTGTTATTAAATCCAAAATATATCTACTAAGATATAGGTTCAAAAGAGAAAAATATGCTATTTTTATGGCTATTAAATAAAATGCATATAAAATAATCAAACAAAGTTAATCTGTAAAAAATAAATGTCTTTTAAATTACCACACATGGAAATAGTAAAAGTACATTTACATATTCTTATCCTTTATACCTTGGTGACATGTAACTATTTGTTCATATTTTCCCACAGGCTGACCCTGATAAAGAAGGCAAATCTCAAAGGGACTAACGGTCACACCACTGCTTAGTGAGTGACACTGATAGACTGTGACGGGAACCTGACATTGTCAAGATTTGTTTACAATGAAAATGATGGCAAGAGTGAGCATTTACTCCATACCATTGGAGACCACTTAGATGGATGTCAGCTCCATCTTAACAATGGAAACGAGGCTGCTAAGTAAAAAAAGTAAATACTAGTCACAGGTGCTACAGACTCTCAGTTGTTATTTCAGGGGTAGGTAAGAATAAACACATTATTATCTTTTAGAGGATTAACATAACTCTAAAAATTATATATGAAGTATCAGAAGGAAAACTAGCATCTTACATAAGTAGGAGAAACAATCCCCTCATTGAAATCTTGAGGTCTTTGGACAATGATCTGAGCTCAGCATATCTAAACACTGAAATCCTCTGGCATTTTGGTGCAACTTCTTCAAATTATTTTAAAAAGAGGAAGAAGCGATATTTTAGGTGTACAA